TGTGTTTATCCATATAAGGAGTTTTTATTTTTAGTTTACCAGCCCTTATATTTGAATAGTCGTTTTCTTTCAAGTTGTTTTCTTGTTTATACTCTGCAAAGTTGATTCCGAAATGTTCAGGTATTCGAAAAAACTATCGAACTTTTCCATGATATTTACAAAGAAACGTCACAGCTGTAAACCCCCCTCCCCCACCCCCAAAACGAACATATGACGTTTTTTGTGGAAAAAATCGATATGTGAAACTTCCCTAAAACTGCAAGGTTTACACTATTGAACTAAAATCCCACAGACCACAACGATTATACGTATTGATTGTTTCCTGACGATAGTAGACGCGTACTTACATGTTGCGGAAGAGGTTATTTCGCTGGCCTCAGAGTGACAAAAGGTACCTTGGTTCTAGAGGTTTAAAATAATAAACCTCTGTTTGAAAGCGGCAATTAATTCATCGAGCCGCGCGAATCAGCTTGAATTTAGGGTAGATAGTTATGATAAGAAAAGGGCGGCGCCAGGGTCGCCCATGCAGGGAGGCGGCAAAGGGAGCAATTTTCTCCGCGACCCCAGCTCAAGGAAGACAGGCAAATACAAATTTGCAAGGCGATAAAAAGTTTGTCGACGGAGGGGGGTAATTGTGGTTCACCGAGGCCCCAAGGGTATAATTGGCCCTGGGGCCCCATATTTCACTGAGCTGGTTTGGGCTGCGCCAGTATTTCTCCGACGGGGGAGCCATCAGTGCTCTCTTTTGATCTTTGTCAATTGGCATTAAAACCGCAAGAACTACGGACAAGTGACCAGGGCCGGATTAACGTCGCGCGAGGCCCGTGGCAAATTTTAGCGCGAGACCCCCAAACTTCCCCCTTTCTTCTTTTTATAAAAACCATTGAATTTAAAGACACAAATTTTTTTCAATATTTCAATTTATTTGCATCAATTATAAACGAGATAATGGCCTGCCTGGCGCAGTTGGTGGGTATAAACAGGATCATAATATAACAGCTCAACGCACCTAGAGATTATATGAACATGAGTATTGCATATTTTCCCTGGGCCGTGCTAGTGCGAACTGCCAAGCCTAGGGACCCTAAATGCGCGAGGTCCCTAAATTCGCGAGGCACCTAAAATGGGTGTGTCCCAATAGAAAATGGCCGTGTTCTCGTAAAAATGGGCGTATAGCACAGTAAAGCGCGAGGCCCGCGGCATTTGCCGTATTTGACACGTGGTTAATCCGGCGTTAAACGAGCAACAAGCTTTCATTTTCTTTAAACGCGACGTGTGGGGAAACAATAATAATTTATGGTGTCGCACTGGGCCAACATATCTCAATGCTGTATTTTTGGGTACTAGTACTTGTAAAATAAAATAAAATAAGATCAATAGACATTAGTGTATCAAAATAAACTAATAAAGTAATTTTACTGATTATTTTAACTGTGCATCAAAGTAAACACACATTATTCTAAACTACAGTATTTGCTATATGCCTATAATTTGAGTTTGAGGTGCATGGTAGAATATATAATAAAATAACAAATCCTTGTATGGATAAATGTTCGTTTGACACGCACGCTATTAACAGCTGCTTAATAATTAACTTATGTATATTCGTAAACATTTATACTCGATAGTCGATATGTAAATACTAAATGGTACATTATATGGATCAATGCAAACTTGAACAAAACAACAATTGTCAGTTGAAGTTCTAATTTTGGGAAATTTAGTAACAAATATAAAATCCCTAAACAGCTCATCGATTTGTATGTTTGCGCTATTAAAAGTAGACAATATTGAACAATGATCTGAAGTTGTCATGCAACTGACAACAATATTATATTTCAAAATACCTGTATATGATGATATTTTACAAATATCTCGGGATTTTTGGACCAATTTTAAACTAAGCAAGGCAAAAAGTCTCCATTCAAGAATATATCTTCTTCTCAAAAGGTAAAATACTTAAAATACTTAAAATACTTGATTAAATTGTTTACCTCGACGGTATGTAAATTAACAGCGTTTGACTTGCAAGACGTCAAAAACGGACGATTTCAACGCGCTGTCGTTTATCGCGTATTCATTTGCCAAAAGAAGTATTTACGTCAATTGAAAGCTTGCTTATTAAAGAGCCAACTAGTAGAAGCATGATCGATTTGGAGCTTTATCGCATGGTGAAAATCGGTTTTGTTAAGAGGGTATCGTAAATGAAGTAAGATAGTGTGCTCCAAAACTACGTTTATATCTATTCCTAAAAGTAACTCAGATTTCCTGTAAGTCATGTATACCGTCCTTTGAATAACCGAAAACAAGATTTTTAGGGTTTTAGATCGATTAGAAACGGTTGTCATCGTGAAATTTATCTGTAAAATCAGCGCATATTTTCCCAGAAAAAATGGCGATTTAGGGTGGTCGTGTTAAAACGGCATTTTCTCAAAGCTAAAAAAGCATTTGACCTAAAAAAATATATGGTGCATTTTCCGATATAATAAGGTATATCTGCGCAAAATTTGAGCGAAATCGATTTTTCAGTCGTGGCCGCGAAATGTCTCATATGTTCGATTTTTACTGACATTCACTCTTAACACCTTAGCATTCGGGTTTAGCATTGGTAATGTTCCTCGCACTGGTCGATTAAGTAGGAGTTGAGCTGGTGGTATGTTCGTTGAGGAATGTGGTGTGGTTCGATAACATAATAAGAACCTCGAAAGCTCTTGGACCCAGTTGCGATTTTCTGCTTGAGCTGTTCTTATTGCTTTGCCAAAGGGTTTCATAAAGCTTCGGCTACCGAATTTCATTGTTGCCATTCTGGTGTCGATGCCTCGTGTGTTACACCCAGTTTTGTGAAATAAGTTTTAAATTCATTACCATTGAAAGGTGGTCCATTATCTGATTTAAACGTGCGCGGAATTTCGTGTCTTGCAAAAACAGCATCTCATTTGGGAATAAGTGTTTAACTGGGATCGGTTGTTCAAAAGCCGGTTAACTTTAGCCCAGGATTAGCGCTAACCCAGGGTTAAAATTCTTAACCCAGGGTTAGAGTAGTTAACCCTGGGTTAAAACTGCGTTGTTCAAAGCTTGGTTAGAGGTGCGGTTAGTTAACCCGAAGTTAAGACATTTAACCCAAGGTTAAATTTGTTTTAAAAATAAATGTAATATAAGAACGTTTTTGATTGGGTGGAAAGTAAGTGTCAAAACTAGTGATAGAAAGGGATAGATGGGAGAAATATTGTTCAACAAGTAATAGACAACTGAAATTGAACATTTGAGTCATGGATTTAAGCATTTTGAAAGTTTCAAGAAAAAATATACGTCATCAAAGCGGCAAAACCATTTAAATAAATCAATTTTGAATTTTAGGCAGTTCTTGAATAATTAAATTTGAGGACAAAATCCCAGCCAATCAAATGAACTTCGAATTATTTTGGAGTTGAAAAGCATTTTTCAACGCATGCGTGTTTATCCTATATGTAAACAAAACACGAAAAGTCGAAATTCGAAAACAGAAAAAGAAGCAGCGAAGTTGTTTTACAGCTTTTAAAAACAGTGTTTTTACTAAGTAATACACGTACTGCGCTGCAAACAGTAGATGTGCAAGAACTTGTGACTGTTCATTAACAAATGGCAAATGGAAACTTTGTGAAACAGATGGTGGTACGGCGAATTGTTTGGCAACGCAACAAGTATTTTTTCTATAAAGTTTATATTTTTCAAAGAAACTTGAGTTGAATGCTCGGCTTTAATAAAACTATACAGTCTATAGTTTTGATTGCGGCAATCGACAAAGATCTCGTGAGGTAAACCTTTTACTTTACAGTGTACACAATCTTCATAACAGCATTTGTGTATGGAACTATATTTTGAAAACCGGCAGACGTAGCTGTTTCTTTTGTAAATTAAGGTACTTTTCTACAGTAACATAATAAAAACAGTGAATTATGATGTCTATGCTTGGACCATAGCACCCCAAAATGGACAAAAAGTTGCTGTATCTTTCACTTTAATGCTGCCATTATCGTATATAAATTCAAAACCAACTTGTTGGTATAAAATCATTTCAAAAACTCATACTGGACGAACAAGAATCTTAATAGTATTTATAGACTTAGAATTTACTTTTTGAAGTGGATTTTCCTCCATAAAATCTTTGTACACTGTTTGTTTCACCAAGAATTTTACATGTTTTCTTTTTTCACTCCTTCGACGTCCATTTTCAATATGAGTTACCGGTCGATTAGCAAGTTAACTCACCCAGCGAGGAGGGATAAATTTAACTCTTCTTTTATTGACTTTTAACCGAGGGTTAAGGATAACCTAGCTTTGAACAACGCAAAGTGACCTAGGATTAAAATTTAACCCTAGGTTAAGCAAATTTAACCCAAATTTAACCGGCTTTTGAACAACCGGCCCCTCATGTGCCGTTCATCATTTCTGCCCCTGGATATCGAGAAAATTTATCAATTAGTATAAACCTACTAGTAGGCTATCACATATCGTGGCTTCTGATTGGCTACGCTACTAGTAGGCTATTAGTGATAGCCTACTAATAGAAAATTCAAAATGGCGGAAAATTCGCGTTTTGCACTTTTGCTCGGAATTGTCTGATGATTTTTTGGATGACTTGTTGAACAATTCTGTACTAAAAACCCCCGAAAAAGCAACAAAAATATGTAATGGCAATTTTTAAGGGTAAGAAAATAGACAAAATAACATACACTCAATGAACTTTTAAAATTAAAACTGAATTTTGTAAAACATTTTACACGAACAAAAACTAAAATATTTGTTTACCTTTAATGGTTTTAAGTTTTTTGTGTATTTTTGTACTGTGTTTGCAGCCTAGTTGTAAATTAATGTTCAAGTTTATACTAAAACAATTAGACAACTCGGCCTCGTTGTCTATGAGCAAATAGTCAACTCGGCTTCGCCTCGTTGACTATTTGCTCATAGACAACTCGGCCTCGTTGTCTAATTGTTAATTAGAACGATAATGTACAGTCCGGCTAGCACCAGAAATGCCATGGTCCATCTGGCATTTCTGGTGCTAGCAACGGTTCTGGTGGGTTAGTGGGTCCATTGACTTGGCATGGTAAACATGTGTCGATTTCCTCTTTTGCTGCTTTGTCAATATTGGGGAACCATGCAGGCGTATTGGCGTAACAAAGCTTTGGTCTTTGCAAATCCTTGGTGACCTGTATGGGTAAGTTTTGCAATTCGAGTTTGTAGAGTTGCAGGTATGATTATTCTTCTTCGTAAAATTACACCATTCACCATTGTTGTTATCTTCAGCTATTTTGTTCCTGATGTTGAGAAACGGTTTGACCAGTTTACCAGTCCAGTCACCAGACTCTTTTGTACTGCAACAAGGCTGGATTCTCTGGAAGTGTGTTCTTTTGTAACTGTTAGTGGTATTGCAGCTTCGGCGGCATTGACAGTCACGAAATCCATGTATTGCTCAGCCATATTACATTTTGGTAGTTTTGGTTCCGGATGTGGAGAGAGGAAATCCGCCGGGTTGTCACCACCTTTCTTGTAGATCATCTGAAAGTCACATTATTGGAGCCTTATAGGAGCCATCTTTCAATTCTGGCGGGGGGTCGAGACAGAGGGTTGTTATAGATTAGCTCTAATGGCTTGTGATCTGTTATTAAAGTGAAGGTGGCCCCAAACACATAGAGGTGAAAGTGCTTGATACCCCACACAATCGCAAGAGCTTCATTCTCCGTCTGTGAGTAGCGTTTTTCAACAGGGGAGAGGGCGCGACTTGCGTAGGCAATAATATTGTATGCATTCTGTTGTGGATCCATCTGGCCTCTGGGTCAGCATGGCAGATGAGCCAACGGGACTGGCATCAAATAAAATAGAAGTTTCTTTAGAGGTGTCAAAATGGCTCATGGTTGGTCTGTTTAGTAGGGCATGCTTCAGTTCATCACAAGCCGATCGATGTTTGTGTGTCCATGTAAAACGTCTGCTCTTTCGGTTTAATTCACGTAGGGGCTCGGTGATGGTTGCATAATCTTTAATAAATTTGGAGCTGTAGTTCCATTCCTAATAAACTTCTAACTTCACTGACTGTTGCAGGTTGTTGTGTGTTGGCAAATGCTTCAACTTTCTTGGATCTGGACTGACACCTTGTTCTGCAAAGACAAGCCCAAATAATTCAAGATTCTCAAAGTTAAGCCTAAGATTATGCTCTTGTAATGTGGTAAGAAAATTCCTCTAGAGCGCGATCATGTTCTGTCCCAGTGTTGCCGAATACAATTATATCGTCTGATTTGAAATGATTTAATGCAAGATTTGAAATGCATATTAGTAGCGTGCTACAGTACACATTTGGTCGAAGAAAAAATACAAATGTATTCCTTTTTTCCACTAAAAACCATTCGCAGATATCTTATCAATAAGAAATTAATTAATAATGTTAAATTTTTGCATTTATTTTTACGTAATGGACCGCCGACGGGAAAATAATAGACCACTGAAAGTGGTTCTCAGTATTTCAGCCAATCACAGTCCGCGATTTCACCGGAAGTGATGCATGCCATATAATAAGAATTAATAATGATTTCTATCACACAATATAATTGCTGACACTAAAAGTTGGAACACACGTGAAGAGAATGATAAAAACACTCGATGTATGATAATATCCTCTTTATGACGTCACATTAAATAATGACTTTCTGGAAAGACTACATGATCTTGGATTGTCGTGCATCAAAATTAATCATAAAACCGTGAATACGCGGTTAGGCCCATGTACAATATACGCGACTAGTTGTATACGATTTTAAAATCTTGTGTTTGAAAACGACTGCTGACGCTGCTGTTCATCAGTTTAGAACCAAATTTGAAATGTGACGTCTTTGCATGCATTTATTCGAGTACATACGCCAAAATCAGATTCGTATACGACTATAGTCGTATCGTGGAAGTGGACCTTTATATCAGGCTACTACAAATATAAGTAGAGTGGAGTTACATATTTCTGATGTATGCTTTTTATACTTTTCCGTAGTTCTTGCACGATTTTTGGATGTTGATCACATCACATCAATGTGCATTAAAGTGCCAAAGACAGAGACCGTAAAAACTGCTGAATCAAAAATAACTAACGTGATTCACCTCAAACATACATTGAAACTGGTTGATCCATTTCGAGAAGCACTAAAGAATTGAAAGAATGCACTTTTCACTGCATATTTGCCATATTACAAGGTAAGAGCTGAACCGTAACTTTAATTTATTAGAACCTTAAAGCCTGGTTTACACTATCAACGTTTCTATGATCACAGAAAGAATTTTTCATAGGATTTGTGGGAAATGTTTGAGAGAACTAGGTTAGTGTTTAACACTGTATCAAGAAGGTAATATAACTTTACAATAAGACCCTAGGATTGTTTTATCATATTTAAATTATTTAATATATATTTTAATAGATATGATAAAACACGACTACAAGTGCTTTAAGACTCAAAAAGTACAATAGATGACGTGTCGTTAGTATTCTTTATGAAAAGAATACTAATTACCCTGAATTTTATATGAAAAATGTACAAGTTTTGTCCGGTATAGAGGGTGTGCATATGACGTCACAGCCGTCATGTTGGTGTTGCAATTCAAAATAATTTTAATTAGATATTTTTGTCTAGAACATCAACATGGCCGCCATGGCTTTTGTTCAGTTGGTCCCTGGGGAATGAGTGCAAACGCTCTATTAAGCCACTTTACGTGGAATATTATTGTTCACATGGGTTTGCAAAAAAGCTTATGAATTATTGAGTGTTTTAAATGTATTTAACTTTTTCTTCCAGACATTAAGTGACCCAAGATTTAAAAATATTATGGAGGAAATCCAGAAAGTGATCCATGATGACACGCGTTATCAAAAGGGAACTATGAACATGAGGACACAGAAATGTTTTGCAATAAAAGTAAGAAAATGAAGCAAGACTGTTTGATATTACCACCATCAAAAATGTATAATTGCATTGCTGCACAGTAAAATAAGAGATTGTGCGAAACGGGTTGAAATTTGACAACACCATAATCTTGAGGCCTTATTTAGTATCGAAAAGAACGCATTAATTTGTCTTTGTTTTCATGCCAGAACCATACGCTCAAGCCGGGCAACACTACAGTAATAAGTATTACGAATTCTAGTAATTTCATATTAACACTCACAGATAAATTATGTAGTTATGTTTTTGAGCATTACGATCGGGACGGTGATCACATGACTATCGAACACACTATAATTTCATCAGTGCAAAAGAAAGACTCTCAATGTCAATTTTATATATATTTTGTATATCGTACGTCGGTGTATATTTTATGTACTATTTAAAGCACGCGTAGGAGTGTTTTATCATATTTAAAACGCGAGGCGCAGCCGAGCGTTTTAGATATGATAAAACACGACTACAAGTGCTTTAAATGGCTTTAACTCCGACTACAAAAAAATAATAATTAAGATGAAGCGTTATATAAACATACTAATGAAGATGAGTTTTATCACATAGAACGCTACGACACGCTTATGATTTTTCTTTGTGTTTTCCTCGTGAATTATTAATGAGGAGTTTAAATTAAAAATAATTGTTTTAACACTGATAAGTACAGTACGTTATGTCATGCAGGGTGTTCATTAAATTGATTGCGCATTTGCTAATGATTTACATGGCATTGCTTTTCCAGTTAAGATAACCACCAAGATTTCATAATTGACCCGATCATGTTTTCATCATCATGATTCATTGACCATCACCAGGGCTTCATTGAAAAACACCATTGGTGATATGAACCTCCTGATTAAATTTTATTTTCACTATTATGTTGTTGTTGTCATTCTAGAAAATATTTAAGAAATACAGTTTCGATTTAATTACCATAATTTTTCTTTCTATTTTCGCAGCTTCGCATTATTGGTATGTATTTCAATTGTTACATTTCCTAAGTATTTAAGGTTACAGGACACCCTTTTTGGCGTTTTGCGGAAAATCGCTACTGCGCGCTCAATATCAGTCCGATTTTCATCAAATTTTCACCAAATGTTCTCCTGTGCATGCAAAATATAGTAAAGTTTTAAAATTAACAAACAATAAAATAATGTAAGAATTATTCGGGAAAATCTTAAATCGCGGTACCGTCACGCTTTTGAGTTGTGCTCCTGCTGGTTTTAAGTTATATTTATGAAAATATCATTTTTATACAGTAAAATAGTTGTTATAAAAAATTGTGTTCGGAAATTTTTGTTTATTTCGTCATTCCGCTGATATGGCGATTTCTTTGACGACTGCAATATATTTCTGAATTGTTTGAGTGAATTGCTCTTTATTTTTAAAATATCCAAAATTAAGAAAAAGCCGAACACAATTTTGAAACTGACGTCTTTAGCTATGTCCTGTGAAAATTTGAGAAAAATTGGTTAAAACCCGCAGGAGCACAACTCGTTTGAAAATCAGTAATTAACGTAAACTTTTTCGGGAGAAAATTGAATTTGAATATTACATTTTCAATGTTTTTCTTATTGCAGCGAAATGTACTTTATTAAATAACTCTGCGAGTTTTCAACATTTTTCGTCCAAACTTGATCAGATAGTAGAACTAGTCTAATGCTTTCATGCAAACCAATAAAAAAAATTTTAGGCAAAATTAACACTCAAAGGTGCGCTGTAACCTTAACTGTAAGTACAGTACTTTATATAATTGCGCGTTCATGTATAATTAGAGGTAGTACGCAACAATCATGGAAATTATATAGTGAGTTTATAAGCAAGCGATTGTTGAGAGTGCTTGTTAAACTATGCTGTTTTCTAGAACACAGTGCCTATAGCCAGCATGCTTATATATCCAGGGTTATTGGATGTTGCAAGAAGGACGTACACAGAGATTTTTGACGATTCTTTGGGTATGTTTTCATTCACTAATGTACCTTCATGAAACATCTCAGGAATGTTCAGTTTCCATTCTTGCGAATAGAGCTTATTAATAGCTGCATTCATCGTAACTGCCCCCGCGATCGATAAGTTTTAAATAATTATGTGAAAAGTTCTAGCCGTTCCTAGCGCGATAATTGGGGGGGGGGGGTATATTTATAAATACGTGTTCTGCCCGATGGATTTCTTTTGAAAGCGATTATTTTTACGGTATGTGAGCAGAAATATGTGAATGTACACCCCTCCCCCCCCCCCAATTATCGCATCTAGGAACGGCCCTGATTCTAGCTCGACATAACTTAGAATTCGATGTCAGTTAAGGCTTGTCTTACACAGGCATCAACCTGCATTCCTACATAATCTTTTGGTTAGCTCACGACTGAACTCTTTGGTTGCTTCACCTCGGACTGGATCAAATAGCGCAGACTTGAAATCTAGTTCAGTCCTCATATTCGGATTTGAAACATGACGTAACGTTTTCGTTATGTCTTATTTATTATGTATAGAATTTCTCACTCGAATTAAGTTCTTCTATCCTATATTGCATGGTTGCAGCGCTGGTGAAACAGCTAGGCGACAAACATGTCCTGCCTGTGAAATCTGCTTATAATTCTACCAGAGGGTTCCATACACAAATTGAAGACTTACCAGTCAGTTTCTCAAAGCTGTCAAGACCAAGTTGCATTCACAACTGCCGATTTGGTAAGTTTATGCAGGAAATATGTATTGTTGGGTGAATTTCTATTATGAAATTATAATTCTAACCACTTCCAACCAATAGTTTGTTCGTTATTAAAGTTATTGTACCATCATTTTGTCACTCTCATTTCTTAAGCCTTGTTCAAATTAGTGAGACAATCATGATCAGCTAAGCGAATACATAAAAGGATGTTTGGTCTTTCTGGCTTTAAAGACAACACGGAAAGTATTATGTGGGAATGCTTTTTTTTTCACCGGCTTCAGCCAAACCAGAACCTTATACTATTTGTATTTCTTTCGTTTTGATTTTACTGATGTACTTTTGTTATCTCACAACTTATGCAAATGTACAATGAGTAATTATTGAAATTCTAAATACAAGGATTTTTTCCACAGGGCTATACACAATTGCCACTCCCGTGCAGTGGGATTATTTCCCCATACTATTTTGGGACAATCTTGGAAAGGTTACTTTCTTCCCTGATCTAGAGGAGACCTGAAGATAGTGCCATAACAAGGTGTCAAAGCGCAAGGTGGAAAATTTCTACGCTAATTTCTAGGCTATAGGTAGTGAAATTATACTCCTTCTGCGGAAGAATTGCGTTCAATTTCCAGCGAAGTGTTTTTGCTCTAATAATACAGTGATTTGAGGAGTGTGTTTACCAGAGACATTGCATGATTCAGGCGAAATGAAACGATAACTATAACTGGAGAATAACTATGGAATAATCATTTTGAACCATTTAGGCCGCTTCGGTGGTGCAGTCGTGAAAGAAAGCGCCTTTCACCTCTGAGTTAGTGGGTTCGATTCTCGCTACGGACTCATATGAGAAGAGTCAGTCAACGCTCTGCCGAAAGTCGTGGGTTTTCTCCGGGTGCTCTGGATTCCTCCCACAAGAAAAGTTGACAAGGTCAGTTACGATAAACACGGTCACGAAATTAATATCACAATTTTTGTAAAAATAAAATAGTCTAGGTTAAATATGTAATTACAGAGGCAAGCGTATAATACTTGATGTAATTAAAGCGCATTTGATCACATCCACATGTAAATTGGCGATATTGAAATGCTGATCGTAATCTATATATTAATAAGGAAAACAGAGAAATTAATTCTAAATTATCACGATTTGTCAATCGATATCCATGACTTTCTAATTAAAAATATAGTTTGCATGCGATTTCTGCCTCGAAATGGTAGGTCTGCTCTTTCTCCCTCCTTCCCTCCTTTCCCTTAAACCTACTTTACCTATAGTCCCGACCTCCTAACTTTCTTGGCCAATTTTCCTCATTTCCTTGTCAGGGTCACTCCCCCCCCCCCTCCCAAATCCCTGCAGACATCCCGCCGCTAGAAGGGTGAGCAAATTGTAATTATATACACCCCAGTGTTTGCAGCTCCTACGTTGGTCATTCATATGAACCAGATTCTTCCCTTTTGCGTCTTCCCATGCATTTATCCAAGAACTTCCCAAAGTCATGCGGGAGCTTCATGGTTGTAGAAAAAATGGAAGGATTAACATAAATTTTATTTATTGAAATATATTGACTTTTTCGAAACATTCCGACAACTAGTGACTATTTGTTTTTAGATCAAACTTAATGGTTAGTGCATGAGTGTTTTTCAGATAAGTATTAATGAAAATTTTGTTCCTTCACTGAGTGAAAGTACATTATGCAAACTCTATGAAACCCAGGCTATATCATACTGTTGTACATTTATTTGTTCGATTACTTCTATTTACAACTTGTAGATCGTATACGAGAATCGATGAACGAAATTTACCTCATGACAAACATGTAAGTATATATCACCTCTAAGTACTTGGCTTCGATTCTCAGTAACGGACTCATGTGAAAAGAGTCAGTCAACGTTCTGTCGAAAGTGGTGGGGTTCCTCTAGATGCCTTGGTTTCCTCCTACAGATAAAGTTAAGAGGGTGGGTTAGGATAAACACAGTTAAGCAGGTAATATCACAATTGTTGTAAAGATAAAAGAGCCTAGGATACGTGTGTAATTAATTGCTCATATTTTTCAGGTAGCTGCATCCCTACCAACGAAAGTTTGTTAATATTACTCAATTACTGGTACTACCTACACTGCCACAGACAGTTCAAAAAACAAAAAAGTTAATTACTAACTTCCCGACGAAGGAACTTCCCTCGAATTGTTATATTATTCTGGTAGTTGTATCTTCGTACTAGCTTCCTACTCCTTGCAGCATTTGATATATGATGTGTTTTATATATTTTAAATTAAGTTTTCGATGTATTTTATATATATTTTTATGATGTGCATTCACTGCTCAGCTGGCTAGGTATACCGGGACCTGACATTCAAGATTTTAATTATTCCTGGCGCAGGAAGTAATTTGCAATGTGGTAAATATTTAAACTTGGTTTCATTTTAGTGTTGCATCTGAGCTGTTGGCAGAAATACGAGATCAAATAGGCTGCCTTTACAAACTAAGTGATTGTGTAGCCACATTGGATCTCTTGGTTTCACTCGCTCATTCATGTACTGTAGCAGAATATGGTAAGTTGCTTATCGTAGTTATAAATTCATATAGTATTTATTTTTCATCAAGCTCTGTTCAATACAGGACTAGAATGAGTAGATCTACGGTCAGTGTCACATATTAAAGGAATACCAAATGGTTTTCCGTGTAGGATAGCGTCCTCCATGCACTTGGGATTTTGCGAGACTTTCCGCAGAAAGCGTAAAAAAACAAGAGCTGCGCCCGAGGGTTTTTTACGCTTTCCAAAAGTCCAGCAGCATCCCAAGTGCATGAACGACGGTATTGATCCTGCACGGAAAACCATGTGGTAATTGTTTTATAAAATAACTACAGTCGAACGACGGTCGACTTTTTAAAATGTTATCATTTTTTTATATCTCTGTAATGAGCATTTTAAAATTGTTAGATTGATAATTGGGCAATATAAATCATTCAATAAATTGTTATTCAAACACTCATTAATAATTCATAAGCTTCTTGGCAAATCAAGTCAACCATAATATCTCGCGTGCAGTCGCTCAAAACCTGATAAAACGCTCCTAATTAGTATTCCTTATATAAAGAATACTAATAAGGCAGTATCTATTGTGGTCGTGTCCTCATTAGTATTCTTTATATAAAGAATACTAAGGCAGTATATCTATTGAATTTGTAGTCGTGTTTGAAGCCGTTTAATAAACTCACAGGTCGTGTCTTATTTGGTCTAAAGTCACTCGCACTGCGCGCTCGTGGCTTTAAACCTAATAACTACTGCTCGTTTATTAAACAGTAAATATTAATTATTAATATTTACTTCAACGTTATTTAAACGGTTAACTTCATTAACTTTATTAGAACTTTATTAACGTTTTGTTGACTTGTCCCTCGTTAAATAAACTGTTATCTTCACAGGTTCAAAGGTCCGCGAAGGCATTTAAATGTCCCTTGCCGGATTATCTGATTTTGTACTGGTATTGACCAATCAAATTGCGTGTTTCAAAGATACAGGCAGCGGCGATGTGAAGGATATGCAACTACCTGAAAATATAAACAGAATTCAGTCACCGTTTCAGGCCCTTTGTCTGGAAGTCAGTAGCCCAAACTAACGAGTAGCCTAGACTTATTGTTTAAACTCATTTAGATGTGGTCATATACTTGCCAGGGTACATATTCACGACTCTGAGCCTGAGAACCTAATACTTGCATTTTCGCAGCTCATGCTTTCCGCTCGAAATTTTCATAAATTAAAATCCTTCAACATTTCGTTCTATCGAGCCAGAAGTCCAAAACTTTGAATCTATAAGGATAGACCTTCGTCCTTATATTTGTAATAATCAAAATTATTAAAGGACATAATTATGAACTAAATTAAAAACTAAAGTTGTTAGGTCATCAAAGACAGGCATAATGAGAGGAGATAAGTTGTTTCACTGTTTAAGTCAACAATATTTTTAATAATGGTTAACTTCATGCGTTGTTGTGCCATTTCATCTTCAAAACACCTGTATGCATTTGAGTTCGAGACCATGACGAAGTGAATTTTAGAGCACTGATCTCAAAACTAGGACTGGATAGAGCAATATTTGGAACTAGGGAATTAATATTGTAGCCATTTATATTGAGGATAGATTTTTAAATCTGTCACATTCCTTACGAATCTAATCGTTATACGTGTTTAAATTAGTTATACTGTAAAGAAAATATCTTCCTCTATACGTAACGCGAAAGATATATTTTCCCACACCTCGTCTAATATTTAATAAGTTTTATAGATTGTTTCAAACACGATATAGTGAGACTTGAGGCGGCAATATTGGGGGCTGTTTATATTATCCCACATTTCCGGGACAAGATGTTAGGCAACCTCGTACCCAGGGATTCTGCGCTTCTTGCTGATGTGATGCGGGGTGATTCTGATGTATTGAAATAACTACAATAAAGTGCACAATTCATTTAAACTAAATTATTTTTCTAGCGACAGATTATATTATAATGGCAAACGAAAGGTTGTTAAAGCAGCAATAACAATATTCTTGAACTACGAGATGGTCTCAAATATTTTGATGTTCTCAAATAACTGTTTCACAAAAGTTGAGCTCTTTCAACCGGCATGTAAACTTTTGTTTAATTAAGCCTATGGTGACTTCTTTCAATACATCACAATCATCTCGCCTTCCATCCCGTCCCGGCAACCCGGGATCATGTAAACAGCCCCTTAGTCTGATTTCATTAATTATGGCAAGTTTTAAAAAGAAGAGAGGCTGCTAATAACCAATTCCTCTCTTGGCATTATTTATTTTGGCCGAATCTTTTAATATTCTACATCTGCGAAATAAAGCAATTGTTAATTAGTTGTCACATAAAACGGGAAATAATCATCATTGCCACTGAATAAGCTTTCTAGGCTTTTTCAGTCTAATAAACTTCTTAAGTGCAGAAGCTAATGCTGTAATGTTACTATTAGACCAAAGGCTATTATTGTAGGGCCAGGGGCGTAGGAAGCATCACAAGATTGGGGAGGGGGCACCGGCTTCCAGGGGTATTGAAAAGGGCACCTAAAAAAATTTTTCCGGAAATGTTGGCGACGGGGGGAGGGGAAAAGAGAAAAATTTCCCGTCATACCATAGCGAAATTGCACGTTTTTGATCAAATTTTTTTTAAAAACTTGGGAATTTCCAAACAAAAAGGGCACCTTTTATGTTAATTTAGTATTTACAGCGACATTAGCTTGTACAAAAAGGGCACTTTTTATCACAAAAAAGGGCACTTTTAGTCCTTTGAAAAAATTGGGGGGAGGGGGGGGGGGACGTGCCCCTTGTGCCCCTGGTTCCTATGCCCGTGTGTAGAGCCAATGCAAAATATTTGAAAGAATGCTTCCTATGTTTAATTGTTCTCATTTTGAAAATTATGAAGTTTCTATTATATGGCAAGCACAGTGAAATGGCGGATTGTGATTGGCTAAAAAGCACTTTAGCGGCCCATTAATTTCCCGTAATGGATCGGCGTAAAAACAAACGCACGTAAAAACAAACGCACGCATTTTAAAACAAAACAGCAAAACTAACTGACAATTACAATTTAATTTGTTATTATTAAGAAAGCTGTGAATGGTTTTCAGTTGAAAAGAAGGAACACATTTTTATTTTGTTCGACCAAATGTGTACCACGCTACTAATATGCATTTCAAATCATGCATTTCTTGTTTGTTTCAAGTATAAATGCCATATAATAAACTTTTTATTAACCTCGCTTGATCGGTATGTACAAGGAAATATCGGATCTCAGTTTTTTTGTACAAACCTTGCTCTACGGGCTCTGTCTGTACAAAAAAGACCTCGGTCCGATATTTCTCTGTACAGACCTCGCGTTCGGTTAATAGGAAGTTATTATCCCTGCACAGTCTGCACAAAAGAGAGAGTCTACTTAAATTAATAAAGTCCGGGTTAATAAACAAGAATGAGTGTTGATGAAAGTTGACAGTCACAAATTGTTACACTGGGGACATTTCTAGCTCTAAGTGATATTTCGAGCCTATAGCTTTTGGAGAAAATATTATTAATAAAATATGTTTAAATACAACATGAAAGGTTTTGGTGAGTGTTCCAAGTACGATTTAACTGAAACAAATACATAAATGTTGTTGGGAAAGCACTAAGGACAGTTATAAACCAACGTGGCATGATTGCGTCTTTTAACTTTTCAATGCAGCTACAGTTACTATATTAACAGCTTATATAGCACTTTCTTGAACATGTTATACCTACTTGCCATGCGTTGTTGTTTTTGTTTCGATATTGATTGGCGCAGAACTGGTGTAGCATTAACATTTTGCATTTTGTGATGTGCGCATTATTCAGTTTGCCAATCATCTTCGGCTAAGTTCGAACCTCACAATTATTACTAAGAGCCAAAACAAATGAGCTCAACCTTTAATTTAAGATAACAATTAATTTAGGTGCTGTATGACATGATGTTTGAGCAAGGACATAAAGTGCACTTAAAAATTGTTTAAATTGTTTAAAATTGGTTTGAATGTATTATTTTAACTGTGCACGTACATCTGTATAAGCACATGCAGTTTTGTTTGTGTTGGAGTCGCAAGTCTCATTTCAAGAAGTAGAACCAAGGCCATCTTGCCATTAAAATGCTGCACCTACACGTTATTAACGTGTTATTCCTGTGTAGTGTAAATGTCATCTTCATGATCGCAGGAATATTTCTGAACTTAGTTGTTATTATCAGTCTATGGAGATCATCACAGATTGGGAAGAAGCTATGCTACTTTATGATTCGGATCTTATCATGTTTTGATCTGATGGTGGTCACAATTACTCATCCTGTTGTTATATTGTTAACAATTACCTCCATGCATTCTGGTGATCTATCCCAGCCCCGTGAAAAGTTTAGCCTATACATATGCAATC